GACATTTCCTGGAGCTCTCCTCTAGGATCAGAACAAGGCTCTGTGGAGCTCTCCTCTAGGATCAGAACAAGGCTCTGTGGAGCTCTCCTCTAGGATCAGAACAAGGCTCTGTGGAGCTCTCCTCTAGGATCAGAACAAGGCTCTGTGGAGCTCTCCGGTAACATTAGAACAAGGGTTTGTGGAGCTCTCCGGTAAGATATGGGTAAACAATGCGATTTAACAGCTAGAGCTGCAGCTTGAGGTGCGGCGCACAGCGTGTGGAGCTGTGAACAGGGCCAACTGATCGGAAGCCGATTAATCGATTATTGAAAAAGTTGACAACTTTTTCAATAATCGATTATGTCGATTAGTTGTTGCAGCCCTATTAACAGCCTTTGAATGTGGGATGATTGTTGGCGCTCGTAGCCATGGAGCGAGTATCAGCAAAACAGCAGAATTCGTTAAATGTTCAAGAGGGGCTCATTGTTAAAGTGTTTAAAGGCTGGACTGTCAGCCAAAAATATGGGTCTGAACGTGCGAATTGTGGCCGTCAGCGACTAGTCAATGTTAGGGCAGAACGGAGAGTGGCAAGACTGGTACAAGACAACAGAAGGGCAACAGTGCAGTGTCAGATTCCTCGCAGCACCTTTCAACATCTCGTGGAGTCACAAGGCGGCCCAACGAAGTTATCTCGTGGAGCCACGAGGCGGCCCAACGATGTCATCTCGTGGCCCAACAAAGTACTGATGGGGTGGTCATAATAATCTGGCCACTCAGTGTATATATACACACACACACACAATATCACCAAAAATATTGGGACACCACTCCAAATCATTGGATTCAGGTGTTCCGTGAAATTTCCTTGCTACTAAATATTCCGCAGTCAACTGTTAGTGGTATTATAACTAAGTGAATTGCAACTGGGACAGCAACTCAGCCACAAAATGGTAGGCCACGTAAAATGACAGAGCGGGGTCAGCACATGCTGAAGTGCACAGTGTGCAGAAGTCGCCAACTGTCTGCAGAGTCAATAGCTACAGACCTCCAAACTTCATGTGGCCTTCAGATTGGCACAACAACAGTGCGTAGAGAGCTTCATGGAATGGGTTTCCATAGCCGAGCAGCTGCATCTAAGTCTTACATCACCAAGTGCAATGCAAAGCGTCAGCTGCAGTGGTGTAAAGCATGCCGCCACTGGACTCTAGAGAAGTGGAGATGTGTTCTCTGGAGTGACCAATCACACTTCTCTGTCTGACAATCCGATGGACGTCTCTGGGTTTGGCAGTTGCCATGAGAACGGTACTTGACTGACTGCATTGTGCCAAGTGTAAAGTTGGTGGAGGGGGGATTATGGTGTGGGGTTATTTTTCAGGGGTTTGGCTTGGGCCCCTTAGTTCCAGTGAAAGGAACTCTTAAAGTGACATTAAAGTCAAAAAATGTTTTCCCTCCCCCAATGTTAAAGCACTTACCTTAAATGATGTTTCTTAATCCGATCTTCTTTCCTGTAGTTTTCAGCCTTCTCTCCAGCACTGCTGCGGGTCTTCGATCCAGCGCTAACTCCTCTGTCCTTGCTGGAACTTCCTGTCCCATGGTGTCTGCATGCGGGTGCACGCGTCCATATACTTACCTTGTCTCTCCTCGTCTCCCGGCCGAAAATGTGAACTGCGCATGCGCCTGCCTCTAGATGCTTTGCGGCCGCCAAGAATTTTCACATTTTCGAACAGGAGCGCGCGGGGAAGACACAGGTAAGTATTAACCTCTTTTAAAGCAGGTTTCTGGTTTGTTTTTTTTACACTTTTTGCATATATCTACTGCTTGCTAGCAGTAGATATATGCAAAATAAACGGAGGGTTTAGACACCCTTTAGGGCAGGGGTCCTCAAACTACGGCCCGCGGGCTACATCCGGCCCGCTAGGGTCCTTGGCCCGGCCCGTTCGGGTGTCAAGGCCGGGGAGCTGCAGGCCCGTACCTTTACTACCTCCCAGCCGGCCGTTGTAAAAAAACGGCCGGCCGGCAGCTATCTAGATAAGCCACGCCCACATGCATTCGCCTTGCGGCGCACGCAAGCGGGAAATACAGTCAATTAAAAAACAGGCAGCGATGCCTGTTAACATACAAGCGATCCGACGGCT